TTCAGCTCGCGCACGCGCCAGGCGGCCTCCTCGGCGGCCTCGTCGCGCCCGTCGGTCGTGCTCACGTCCGAGGCCGCGTCGTCGTCGTCGTCCTCCCAGTGCTTCTTGCCCGCGGCGCGCGCCGCCAGGTCCTTTTTGATCTGCTCCTCGACCAGCTCGTCGGCGGCCCGCTTGCGCGCGGCCTCTTCAGCCAGCCGCGCCGCTTCCTCTGCTTCTGCCGGCGTCTGGCCTCCGCTGATGCCGCCGCCGCCGCGCTGGCTCTTGGGTATGAATTTGGGTCGCATCATCATTCGTCGTGGCGCTTCGTCCTCGCTGCTCTCCTCTTCGTCCGATGACTCCTCTTCCTCCTCTTCGGAACCGTCCTCGTCGGGGTTGTTGTCGTTTTTGGCGTCGCTTTCGTCGTCTGTTACGAAACCATCCTCGGCGGCCAGCCGCGCGGCTTTTTCCGCAGCCAGCCGTCGTGCCTCTATCGCTTGCGCTTCTTTCCGACGCGCATCGAGGTCGACTTTGCTTAGGTTGCTGATAATCTTGCCCGCGCTGGCGGCCTTGGGGGGCGGCGGGATGGCGGCGGCGGCGCGCGCGGTGGTTGCTTCGTCGGCGTCGCTATCAGAGTCGGATGAGGAGTCGGCGCCCACGTGCTTGCCCGCGCGATGCCGCGAAGGCTTCAGCGGGTTCGCTGTCATGCGCTTGGGTGGCATTTTGCGACTTGGGATTTTGTTTGTGAATGTGATTGGAAGCTTGAAAGTTGGATTCGTAAACGCAGGAACAAAATCGCCGCTAGCAAATCAAGCTTCTTATCAGATAAGACTACCCTGCACCCGATACATGGATTGATTATCCCGCTCGCTTCCTCTTCATGGCTTGGATATCTTCACAAACGCTTGTTTGGCTTTCTCTTCGTGTTGCTTAATTGTCCTGTTTATTTAAGCGGCTCATGCGGACTGATTCGTCGCCAGTCTCTTGCGTGACGCTGCATTCATGAACCGCATGCGTCAGACAGCTTCTACCCCACTACTTCACAACGTCGTGCTCCTCAACTTTACTCTCGCAACTAAGCTGACAATCTGATTGAGGTCACGTCCTCACCACTAAAAACAGCAATGGTAGACCGAACAGTCGTCATCACTGGAGCTACTGGTCTTCTTGGCCGACAAGTGTCTCGTGTGTTCCGCAGAAAGGGATGGAACGTCAAAGGTACTGGCTTCTCTCGAGCAGACGGTGTCGATGTATTGAAAGTAGACCTTGGTAACCCGAGTGAGATTGAGAAGCTCCTTGAAGAGACAAAGTAAGTCAAGATTTCAACAGTAACCTCTTACACACAATATGAATTAAGAATTGAACAATCTAGTCCCGAGGTCATTGTTCACTGTGAGCCGCCCACCCTTGATCACCGCGCCAGGTGATCGACATCTCTTGTCTACGGCGGATCAGCTAACCCAAGTCCAAGGCGCGGCGGAGCGTTTCCCCGACAAAGTCGAAAAGGATCCCGAAGGTGCCAGGAAACTCAACGTTTCGGCCACGTCGTCGCTGGCGCAAGCGGCGGCGGCCAAGGGCGCATTCCTGATCTACATTTCTACCGACTACGTCTTTCCTGGAAGGCCCGGAGAAGCACCATACGAGGCCGACTCTGAAACGAACCCGCCCAATCTGTATGGGCAGACAAAGCTGGACGGCGAAAAGGCGGTCCTGGCGGTGAATGGCGGCAAAGCGGGATCGGCGGTGGTACTGCGCGTCCCCGTTTTGTATGGATCAGCAGAGACACCGGCCGAGAGTGCCGTCAATGTACTGCTCGACGGCGTCTGGAAGTCCCAGACTGAAGACAAAAAAATTAAGATGGACCACTGGGCTCCACGCTACCCGACCAATACTGAAGATGTCGGCCGAGTATGTCATGGTATGTCTCAACAACAGCTCAGGTTTTTTCTTTTGTCTTTTCTTCATTTCTTTTTCTCTGCCGTGTTCTTGAGCGCTTGCGCGTGACATGTCACAAGTCTGAGCTGTTTGAAGCGTCGAATTCCATTGTTTCGTTTCCAGAATGAGACGGCTCCAAGCTGGCCAGGTTTTTGGAATATTGGAAACAACACGCCAGATGACGAATTCATGCAAAAGGCTAATTCCAATTTGTTATTTTGTGTTGTAGATATTGCGGAGCACTATCTGCGTGCTTCTGACCGAGTCTCCCTACCAAAGATTCTGCAGTTTTCTAGCGAGGACAGGATGACCAAGTATGAAATGTGTCAAAAATTTGCAGAGATTATGGGCTTGCCCTTGGACAACATTGAGCCCGACACCAAAGGCAACGATCCGAATGCAAGCGTGCAGCGTCCATACGATACGCACCTGAGCACAAAGACGCTCAAGAGTCTCGACATCAACCTGTCCACCTGCGACTTTACCGCGTGGTGGAGGCGCGAGCTGGGGGCGTTTCGCAAGTAAAGCAGGCCAGACTGCCAAAGCGGATTCATGCGCAGGCGCAGATCTTGACGAAAGCCTGCATTGGGGTACATGTGGCAGGGTCAAGGGCTGCTAACTAGTTGTTATTGGAGTAGCACTGGAATGTATACCAGTATGCAAAATCAGGGCAAAAAAATATTGAGCCACGAACAGTTGGGCCGACCGTGGTGGCAGCCGCCCTTGCCGGCCAGTACAAAAATAACAAACTCCCCCCAATCTTGGCAGCCTGCGCTCGCATGCAAATTTTATTGCCTGGCAAGAGGAATCTTGGCGCTTGTCAGTGGTCTCACTGGGCGGGCATGTCTCTGGTGCTCATTTGCGGCTGGCTCTAGAGTCTACCAGTAAGCCAAGATACGATACCATACATAGAACAAGGTGTGATGTCAGCTGCAGATACGCGTCGTGATTGCCCCAAACAGTCATGAAGATCAGGCCAAGACTATGTATACGTAGTATCCGTCCCGTTGCCGATGTGCTCGATGCCTGCCGGCGTAGAGCCAAGCCGTCGTGTTGGTAGAGTGCCGTGCCCTCCCCGATTGCCATTGACTCTCTCATTTCCCGGCGACTATACGGATATTAATATCGTCCTTGTATTCTCACAATCTTCATTAGTTAGAAGTGCTTCCTGCTCCCTGCGGGTACTGCGCCACGGCATTGAATAATATCGCGAGGCGGGGCGCTTTATCAACTTGTCTCCCTGTGTGCATTTATTGCTTTTTTTTCCCCCTTGCCAGAACGGCAACGCGGGAGCCTAGGACCAGGGGTCACCCTTGCACGCCAATCGCTAAAATCGACAACACAAATATGTCTAGTTACGGGCAAACTATTTAGTTACGGATATTACTGGTCAAACTAGAAATCTAGCCTCATCTGCTGTCAAAGACAATGGAATGTAGCAACGCGCGTTGCTGGCGGGGCCGTCTTTCTCGGGCGCCTTTACCAATGAGACAGTGTGTCGACGCCCCGAAGCTTGACGCGTGAGCATACAATGCGTTTTGAGGAATCTTGGGAAGCGAGTAGGCGTGTCTTGAGACCAACTAGGTTATTTGCATACTGAGTAATAATAACAACTAAACCTCGTCGAGAATGCCCGCATATTAGGCTTGACTGGCCCCCATTTCTACCGCGTGGCGCCAATTACACCCTGCGCGGCCCTTCTTCTTCCGCGATTGCTTTCCTTTCCTCCTTTGCCATCTCATTTGCTCTCGTCACCTTGTCGTACGATTTTCTGCCTTTTTTCGAATTGCTCCTTGCCTTTACGAATTTGTTCCTGTCGTCGTATTCGTTGGATACGACTCCTCGGATTAATCCATCGAACGGGCCATCCATTCATTCGTTTTTTTTTTTAAACTGCCTTTTTATCTTTAATTAGACGCCCCAAAGTCCTGTGCAGAACGCCCTGTTCCACAGTCGACTTTCAATACGTCAGGTTATACTCTCTTTATATCGACGGAAGCGTAGCCTTGAGACAGCCGACCGCATCTTATCATACAATTGAACCATCCAAGTACGACTTTGGACACAAAGGACGACGCAGCAAAATTGAACAAAAATCAAAATTAAAAGCTTGGTGAAATCTCCTTTGCAATGGCGACAGAAGCTACCCCCACCGAGGTCACCCAGTCTACATCGAGATATCGCATGCTTCGCGGCAAAAGCAGCTCTTCGCCACGCGTCCTGGACATTTTCCGCGACAGCGACAAGCTGGAAGAGTCACCGACCCGCAGACTACGATCTAGCAGCGTACACACTTTGAAAGCTGGGCCAGGCGACAAGAACGTACCAGATGTGCCACCGTTACCATCCTACGTGCTTACACCCAAACCAGTCAACATTCCTCCACCAGCCACGTTCAAGAGTCAGGATGAGGAAAAAAAGCCCGACAGTGCTGCAGAGGTCCAGAAAGTAGTCGCAGACGACGTGCATGAAAAGAACTCTACTACCGAGGCGTCTGGCGAGCCGTCTCTACTGCCTCTGCAGCAGACCAAGAGCAAGTCGAAGCGCCTCATGTTTGGCAAGAAGGAGCTCGAAAGTGAGCCCTTGCCAGGTGCCGAGGGCTTGGATCTGGAAGTGCAGCGCAATACCTCTGAGCGACAGAGACCAGATCCTCCGCGGCTTCAAGCAACCCTTGCTACGCCGCCGCCGCCGCCGAAACGAAAGCCGTCGCTTTTCGGCCTATTCTCCAAAGGCAAGAAGTTGTCGCCAACCCCGACGCAGCCAGATACTCCCAGTTCCGTTGCCACGACTGTTTTCACGAGCCGCGGAAGCAGTCTAGAGACGGCATCCAACCCCGACAGTCTCGGAATTCCGAGTGTCGTTGACAAGCCGGCTTCATATACTACTCATAGACCGCAAACAACGCCCGTGATACATGCGTCGCAAAATTCTGAGCGGGTAAGTACCAGCAGTCTGTTTACTGGTATTGTGACTAACGAGTATTTGAAGCGTGTGGCTGTTCGATGTCAATCTTCCACAATCAATCTTGCTGTAGCTAGTGACACCAACGCAGTAGACATTTTGCTCATGGCTTCGACCATGATGCGCCATCACATCAACCCTGCCAGCAGTGTCGTGGTTGAGTCGTACCTCATGTTGGGTCTTGAACGTCGTTTGCGACGCTACGAGCGTATTCGCGATGTCATGAACACCTGGGACAAGGATCATGAGAACTCCTTGTTAATCCTCGGCTGTCCCGCTTCCATGAGCGACCACGACCTCGACATTGACGCCGTCCCCGACTCCAAGGAAGCTCCGCCCGGCTTCACTCTGCAACTGTACCAATCTTCGCGCCCCGGCAAATGGAACAAGCGCTGGGTTACCCTGCTGGAAAATGGCCAAATGTATTCGGCCAAGACGGCAGATGCGCTGCCCGGCGACGCCGCCTGTACTCAGCTCTGCCACATGGCTGACTTTGACATTTACTCACCCAAAGAAGCCGAGATTCGACAGAGTGTCAAGCCACCAAAGAAGTTTTGCTACGCAATCAAGAGCCAGCAGAAGAGCACGCGAGTCCCTGACGAGGTCAACTTTGTGCATTACTTTTCGACAGACAATGAAGAGACTGCCACGCAGTTTTACGACATGGTGCACCGTTGGCGAAGCTGGCTTCTTGTCGCCAAGAAACTCGCCCTCGACCGAAAGATGAATGCTCCCGCACCCCAAATAACATTCGGCTCGGCCAATGGCTCCGACACATCAGCCGATGAGATCAAGTCCGACTCACAGACGACGTCTAGCGCAGCTTCGTCTTTTGGCATTGGCACGTTTCAGCCGCTTCTGGATGTGAACAACCTCTCTCAGCTGGCGGAAGAAGCGAGAAAACTGATGCCGGTTGGGCCGTCAAGATCCGCCACGGCAGACGAAAAGCATGAGGCGCGCCAGCCGCCGTGCACGCCGGTTTCCAAAGTCAAGAACCAGCAAGCCAAACCGAGCCTGAAACGAGCCGAGACGGACAAGTATTCCGGCTCGCCCCCCAACTCAATGTACCACAACTCGCCTGGGCCTATTCGGGTGGATCGTTTGAAGACTAGCCCCAGGGCGGCCAACGCGACGCCGCTCGAATTCGACGCCTTCATCTTTGACGCGCCCGAGGAGGAGGAGAAGCCTGACAAGCCCGATGCGGCCCCCAACGTGCCCGAGGAGCCCGAGCTGAGGTCGTGGTTCCCCTCGGCCGCCGAGCACACGGCAAAGATTCGAAAACACGAGCCGCCTCCCATGTTCCGCCGACCAGCCACCGCCGACGCAGCCCTGCACGGCAACCAGCGGCGGCCGAAACCGTCACACTATAACCGATCGCACTTTCTGGAGCCGCCGAGACTCTTTGATGGCTTCGGCGGCGGCGGCGGCGGCGGCGGCGCCCCGTCTTCCAAGCCGACTTCCCTCGCACCGCCCATCTACAAGCTGCCCGGAACACCCATGATGCCTTGTGCGCCGAGACCGCGCCCCATGGCGCGCTCGAATACTGGCATCAGCGGGCCCCCCGAGCCGCAGCACGGTGCGAGGCAACGGAGCCGCTCTACGGCTCCAAGCTCACATGGTAGACGGCACATGCCGGAAAATATGCCTCCGCTGCCGGCTCTTCCTACTCGGTCCATGAGTAGAGATGCTTCAGCGCCGCCCCCAGCGCCGATAGCACCGCTGAATATCCCGTCGCGTTCGTCGCCGCCGCAGCGGGGGCCGGCACTGCAGTCTGTCTCTGGGCAACAAATCTAGCGACGGAAAGTATTGATAAATTTTTTTTTTCCTTTTTTGTAATTGTATCTCGAGGCAACGGTTTGCCTCCAGAGAGGCATTGGATTCTTGCCTTTTGCTTGGGCAGTTGCTGCTGATGCTTGGAAATTAACGGACTTGTAAAACTTGTTTCTCTTTTTTTGGGTGTCTTTAATACGAATGATACTTCGGGGTGCGGATCACGAACATATATTTAGCAACAATCGTTTTATATCATCAATTAATTTTCTTTTTGTAAATGGACGCCAACCAAGGCATTCTGAGGCCAGGGGAACACTATTTGCATGATTGTGGCTACCATGCGCCTAAATAAAAGCACTTTGGATCTCACTCTTGGACAAGATAGGCTAGAGGCTTACTGTATTTAAAGGAACCTTTGTGCCAGTTTTGAGGAACAAGTGGCAGGAGCGATGGTGTAAGTGGACAGTGCGGATCACAGTTCATTTATAGTCTGCACACTGTCAAAGACGCGCTCCCAAACAGCGCAGATCGCGACAGCTTCGGTAAACGGTGGGCCGTCTTGGGTCAACGACAGGGCCCAAAACAAAACCAAGCCTGATTCACAAACTGGTTTACATCGACTAATGTGCTCTTGCCGCATCTTTTCGAATTGAGTTTTAGTCTTCCGAGGAGTCTTTGCCTGGGCAAAACGGCGGCGCGCCACCGCCAACGGATACAATGGCGCTCACAGCTCACGAGCTTGCGCAACTGCGAGTAGCTCTGCAAGACGCAGTGGTGAGATGCTCGGAGCGCTGCCTATACCAGTCTGCAAAATGGTATGATTACAAAAAAAACCAGACCCCCCCAAATTTCGGCACCGCTTAAAACGTCGTGGGCTAAACTGTGACGGGGCAGGGCGGCGGAGCTGTTGACGTCTCTTCCCGAACCAACAGCCGAGGAGCTGGCAGACCAGAATGCGGAGCAGCAGCAGCATCATCATTTGTCGCCCGTCTTTTTGCCAAACCAGGACCCGGAAGAGGCGCAGCTCGAGGCCGGGGAGCTTAGCAAGTATCTCCTGGCCAAGTCGCTCTTTGACTGCCGCGAGTATGACCGCTGCGCCGCCGTCTTTTTGCCCGACGCTCTCTTTTCCACGGTGCTGGGCTCGAGAGCAGATGCTGCGGGCGGCGGCTCGCCGAGCAAGGGGAAAAACAAGGCGAAAACGGCAGGGGCCGGCTCTGCTGCTGCCGCTTTTTCGCTGCCGCAAATCAGCCAAAAGAGCCTGTTTCTCGCCCTGTACGCAAAGTTCTTGTCAGGCGAGAAGCGCAAGGCTGAGGATTGCGAGATGGTGACTGGGCCGCAGGACCTCGGAACTGTTGTGAATAAGCAGCTGCTCGCAGTTGGGAGCTATCTCTCGTCATGGTTTGAAGCAAAGACTGTGGACAATGAAGTGGCTGGAAGCCAAGGCTGGTTGGAATATTTGTGCGCTGCAATGGTTCTCTTTTTTTTTTTTCATATGAGCATGCTGACTTTTGTCTCAGATATGGCATGGTCCTCGCAAAAGAAAAGAACGATAAACGAGCTTTGGGCTTCTTCTTGCAGAGTGTGCACAAGTTTCCCATGAACTGGGGCTGCTGGCTAGAAATCACATCGCTAACGTCGAGAAGCGAAGAGGTACGTGTTTTTTTTCATTATCAAGAGGCAAAAAAAACTAATCTTGAAAACAGTTGGATCGCATATCTCGACACTGCCCGCAGAACATCATGTCATACATGTTTCACTTACATACGTCCCTCGAGCTGTACCAACATTCGGCAAGTCTAGCCACTTCACTTGAGCAGCTCATGGGCATCTTTCCAACATCACCTTTTCTTCTCACCTGTAACGCGCTATTAGCATATCATGAAAAGGACCTACTGCTAGCGGAACAGCATTTCAGCCGCCTACTTTCCCTGCACCCGCATCGCCTAGACTCCCTGGATCACTATTCCAATATTCTATACGTTTTGAACCTCCGACCAAAACTCGCATTCTTGGCGCATCTATGTTCTAGCGTGGACAAGTTTCGGCCCGAATCTTGTGTTGTTATCGGGAATTACTACTCATTATTATCCATGCACGAAAAAGCCGTTCAGTATTTCCGACGCGCGTTGACGCTAGACAGGACTTGCCTGTCCGCCTGGACGCTGATGGGCCACGAATATGTCGAGCTCAAGAATACCCACGCAGCCATCGAATCATATCGACGCGCAGTAGATGTCAACCGCCGCGACTACCGTGCCTGGTACGGCCTGGGCCAGACATATGAGATGCTGGAAATGCATACATATTCGCTGTGGTACTACAAGAAGGCCGCGGGCTTGCGGCCTTGGGATGGTAAAATGTGGATGGCTGTTGGATCTTGCTTGCAAAAGATGGGAAGAGACCGTGACGGAATCAAGGCTTTAAAACGTGCTCTGCTCGCGGATACATACTACGACGCGGGCAGCAGCCTTGGCCATGGCGATGGTTCGGGCTCACACGCGGCGACAACGCACATGGACCCCGAAGTACTCTTACAGATTGCAACCATGTACGAGCAACTTGGCGAGGAAGAGGAAGCAAAATCGTACATGGAGCTCTGTGTTGGCCAGGAGGATGGTGGCGGCGGCCCGGCTGGCAGAGATGGAGACGGCGCGCTCATGGACCCGTCGCAGACACACAATGACTCGACAGGAGGAGGATCGGACGACGGAGAGCGAGAGGAGGAAGAAGGACGCAACGAGGGAACAGGCGTCACGGCCGCAACTAGCAAGGCGCGCATGTGGCTCGCCCGTTTTGCCATGCGCACGTCGGATTACAGTGTCGCTCACCGGCTCGCCACTGAACTCTGCCAAGACGGTGTTGAGGTGGAAGAGGCCAAGGCTCTAGTGCGCGAGGTCCGCTCACGCTTGGATGCTTCGGAAGGAGGGCTATTTACATGAGGAAAAGGAAAGTGGCAAAACAGAGGACATGCAATGTTAGCTAGGATAAATCCCATCATATGGTCCCGTTCTGGCAACGACACTATGACTTTTTTCGATACAATGGGACTGCTCTGTGAGAAGCTAGCACGCAAGAGAGCACGTCATGTAAGCATCAGGCACAGGACAATCATCAGGCACAGGATAATCATCAGGTACAGGACAATCATCAGGCACTTGCAATTAACAAAAAAGAAGATGAATGTATCAAGAAAGTTTTTTTGTAAGACGAGTGATTAAAGGACTGAACCCCTTGATTATTAAACCTCCGCTAAAAGATGCTGACCATATCGATATTAGATGTAGTCAAATGAAAAAAGAAGAAAAAAATTATCTTTTGAAAAGAATGATTAAAAAGGAAGCGAAATATCGGTGTAGTAGAAAAGAAGATTAGAAAGAAAAAAAAAAGAAGCGAAATGTTGGTATTGTAGAACCCGAAATCAAGACCCCCATAAACGCCAGGCACGCCCGCTTGCTCAGCGTGCAGGATTCCGGAGCGATTCCTGGCTGCGTCGGAACAAGCCGCCGGCACGCTGTTGTTCCCTTTTTGCGGCACCTCTGGCCGACCATTTACAGAGCCAGGGCGGCGACGGCGGCGAGGACGAGCGCGCCGACGCTGGTACCATGACGGCCGGCACCGGCAGTGATGATGGGAAGGTTGGTAACGGTGGGCTGGACGGTGGCAGTATTGGTAGCAGGAGGGTTGGTGACAGGCGGGTTGATCACAGGAGGAGGACTCGGAGGAGGGTTGATGATGACAGGGGGAGTCTGCGGAGGAGGGCTGATGATAGGGGGAGTGCTGACGTTTTTCGGAGGAGGGCTAATGATGACAGGAGGAGGGTTGACGACACTTGAAGGCGGCGGGTTGACGATAACCGGAGGAGGGTTACTGGTAGGCGGGGGAGGAGGAGGAGCGCTGGTAACGGGAGGAGGAGGAGGAGGAGCGCTGGTAGGGGGAGGAGGAGGAGGAGGAACGCTGGTAGGGGGAGGAGGAGGAGGAGGCACGCTGGTCGGGGGAGGAGGGCCGACGCTGGTGGTGGTGATGGTGCAAGGACAGTCTGGAGCGCCCGTGTTAGTGAAAATCAAAGCAAATTGGCGCAGGGCTGAAAGCTGTATGGTGCACATACCCGTGATGGTCAGAGTGGTAGGCTTGGTGACAGTAATGGTCTTGTTGGGGTGAATGGGAATAATGGTAGGTTCCTATCAAAAGCTGGTGGTTAGTCGCGGTTTCAAAGAGGTTCATCCGGGGAAATTGTACACGTACAGGGCAGTAGGTCGTATAGTCAGTAACGACGGTGGTGTAAGTGTGAGTGGTCTGGTTGTGACGACGGTGGGTAGGTTGAATAGGGTGAATCGTTTGAGTGGTGTGAGTAGAGTGAGTAGTGTGAGTAGGTTTGGTATGGTGGTCAGACCAAGTAGGATAAACAGATTTGGTGTGATGATCAGATTTGGTATGATGATCAGACCAAGTAGGATAAACAGATTTGGTATGATGATCAGATTTGGTATGGTGGCCAGACCAAGTAGGATAAACAGATTTGGTATGATGATCAGATTTGGTGTGATGATCAGACCAAGTAGGGTGAGCAGACTTGGTATGATGATCAGATTTGGTATGATGGTCAGACCAAGTAGGGTGAGCAGATTTGGTATGATGGTCAGACCAAGTAGGATGAACAGATTTGGTATGATGATCAGATTTGGTATGATGATCAGACCAGGTAGGATAAACAGATTTGGTACGATGATCAGACCAATCAGGATGGTCATGATCATAGTCAGGATGGTGATCAGGATGATAATCAGGATGACTAGAGTCAGGATGATAATCAGGATGATAATCAGGCTTAACAGGATGACCAGCGTCAGGATGATAATCGGGCTTGACAGGCTGACCAGCGTCGGGATGGTAGTCAGGCTTCTCACTGCCGTCGATAACACCGGCGGCAACGCTGGTGGCGAGAGCGACGAGCGAGAACTTCATGTTGGCGGTTTTTTGTTTTTCGATTTTTCTTGTGCAAAAGCGAATGTAGAGAAATCCAAGTTGGATGGTACTCGTGTGATGTACTCAAAATAGTTGTATCTTGAAAGAGAAGGAAAAAGAAAAGACATGTGCTTGAGGGGGTTGCGGATGGTCTTTGTAGTCAACGAATGGTGGGGTCGTAATTGAGGTTTTGTTGACCGGTTGCAGTAATAATTCATTATCAACATCGAAGATGGTGTGTGTGTCAACACGCCTTGAAGTATACGATTTAGTTGGCATTCATTGCCATGGTTCCTGCCGAAGAATCTGCATGCGAGCAATGGCCATGATGTGAGGGTGTGGTGTGGCCGGATGCGGATCTTCAAGGTTGGTTGTTGTTCGTGTAAGTCGCACACCCTCTTCCGAATAAAAAACGAGAAAGAAGAGCCGGGGCTTTTCCTTTCCGAGACATGCAGTGCATGTTTTTTGTTTTTCTTTTTTTCTTCTTTCTTCGCCTTCTTTTAAACTACATTTTCCCTCACACCATTGCTCATGTAGTTAGAGTGAGAAGAGGAACGGCTGGAGTAGGCAGGCAAGCGAAAACTCTATAGAACAAGCAAGTTTTCTTTTTTAAAAAAAAAGAAAAAAGAAAAGAAAGAGCATCATCTACAAAGGGACCAGTAGCACACTTGTAAACAGACGAGCATCGTAGAGAGGGAGAGAGATGAGATGCAATGTTGTGATGATGAGCCCAATGCTGGTTCAACAATGTAGTTGCGTTGTTGCCATGGTTGCTGCTGCTGTTGACTTGCAGTTACAGATGCTCGCCGTCTCAGGTCTCAGAGTGTCTCTTCTTTCAACACTTGATAGCACCGCCCAACCCGTCGTCTGAAGTAAACGGCCCAGGCTAGAGGGGGGGCTAGTGCAGGCACAGCGTCGAGCTAACGCAGACGGTGCCCTCGGATTTGGGAGCCTCCAAGCCTCTCTTGGCCTTATGAGCGGGGTTGTAGCTGGGCATGACAGGAGGATCGGACCCGGGGTTGTGCGTGTGTACATCAGACGATATGATGGGCGCGCATAATATGAGAAGACTCTTGGCTGCCCTCACTCACGGGCATGCGCCCAATCTTTGTCTTGACCTTTGCCCGACCACCTTCAACTTGCCTGCTCGGTGAGAGATTTGCCGGAGAAACGTGATATCGCACCCGTAATCCACCAAAAAACTTCAATTGCAAGACCTGGTGGCCTAAATGGCGTCAGGTCACAGAAACTCTCTTCTCTGGAACCGTCTTTGCAGACTCACACCATTAGTTCGCAAAAAAGCTGGGCTTTGAGACTATACGAAAGCTGTCTGGGCATAGCGGCATGTCTTGAATGCACAGTTCAGTCCTAGTGGTTGCAGCTGGGTGGTGGGTGGTTTTAGCTGGCAATGGCCTCGGGAAAAAGAAGATCGCCAGCCTTGTAACAAGGAACGGGCAGCTAATAATTGGGACGCCGCATTCGTCAGCAGAGTTTTTTTTTCTTTCGCACCGAAATTTCTTCTTTCTGTTTCCTGGCGTGCTCATCCTTGATATTGATGTTTTTCTCACGATTCGTTTCCGTGGCACATCTTTGGCTAGCTGGTGACGTAGGACGACAGGGCTTGTCTGATACGCTGGCAAGCTGGTAATGGCTGGCACACCATCGCCGCATCAGCTCATGGATCACAGGAAGCTGTGCTATGCCAAAAATTGGCCGCTTGCAGATGCCAACGAGGTCAGGTTCTTCGAAATTTTCTTCCTCT